CCCTAGCCTTGCCATAACTTTGGCATTGTCTTGCAGTAGCCTTGCCCTAACTTTACATTAGTATTGTCTTAGTACCTTCGCCTTGCTTTGCCTTTGCCTTGACTTCGCTTTGGCATACTCTTACTAATGCCTATACTGTAGCTTATCACTAGCACTACTTTAGACTTAGATCATAACATTCCTCCCTCCCCCCCCCCTCTCACAAAAAAGCTAATCTGCAGTGACTGTCCAAAGCCTTAACAACAAAAAACGCTTGACCGCCAGAAACCCCCCTCTCCCCTAATACAGTCAACGTCGTAGTCACTCTCGACACAAAAGTTTGTAGCGCCCGCAGGACTATGAGCAATATTCTGTTTTTTTATCACTGCTGTCCAGCGTCATTGTAAAGAGGCATTTGAGCAAATAAAAGAGCAAAAAATAAAATATCGAAAAGTGGACACCTTTAAACCGAGTGATTCAGGTGATCCAGCCCTTTTTTTATTATTATTTGTTTGAGTGGACGTGACGTATTGCCAAAGGGGCCGGCTGTGGAAACAGAGAAAAAAAGTTGCATTTGACGCCTTTTCGTATGCTGATCAAGACATGAGTGATGCGTTACAAGAAAAAACTGGTTATTTAGAGTTTAAAAAAGGCAAATTTGAGATTTAAAAATTTTTTAAAATTTCAAAAAAAAATTTTTTTTAATTTTACAAGGAGGAACAAGCTCAATTTTTTTACAATTTTTTTTAAAATTAAAATTTAAAAACATGACAAATCAGTGTATTAGTTATAGCAAACTGAATAACATCATTTTTTCATTTTTTAAAAATTTAAAAAATTTAAAATAAAAAAAAATTTTTTAGCCAACAGGGGGGGCCAAGCACAACTTTTCTCAAAAATTAAAAAAAAATTTTTTTTCAAGTATACCGTCACCAAAACCAGTAGAATGCTCAAATTGTCATCCTATATAAAGCCCAAAACGGCCAAAACGGCATGACCGATAAAGAGTGGCAGAACCCTTGTATTATGTTTTCATAACCCGAAATTGAAGCCATGAACAGTCCGCATAAACTTTGAATGTCATAAAATCAAAAGTAATGGTCGCGCGTTATATCTTGCTGTGGATTTTGCTTTAAGATAGCTTTGGGTAGTTTTTGGTTTTGGTAGTATTTTTAGGTTTAGTACTACATAGTACTGGAAGTGCGATATTACTTAGTATGAAAAGTTTAGTACTACTTGGCATAAAACTTACAGTACTATTGAGTATAAAATTGTAATACTGTTTGGCATGTAAATTACAGTACTATACAGTACAGAACGTATGGTACTAATTAGTACTAAGATATAGTACTATACAGCCTAAAATCTTAAAGCTTTAAAAACTACCGTAGTCCTTAATCAGACAAAGGCATTGTAGCACCTTACCTTTGACATTATTAAGCAAAAAAGTCTTATTTGGCCCAAGAATTCCTGAAAGTCGGAAGTCAATTGACCTAATTCGATTTTCTTTGTCTTCAAGATTTTCTTGGTGTCTTACTGAGTATAATATTGACTACCCTAGCCTTGTTTTAACTCTATTTTAGTTTTACCATAGCCCTACCCTAGCCCTACTCTACCCTACTTTACTATTAGCCATACTCTTGCCCTACTCTAGCTTTACCTTTGATGTACCTAGCTTTACCTCAGTATCTACCCTAGCCATAGCTCTACTATACCCTAACTTGGCTTTTAATTCATATCTTACAGTAGCTTTACTTAGACTTACTTCAAGATTTATCCTAGCCTTACTCAAGCCTTATCCTAACCTACGTCTTAGCCTTAGCTCTGTATATATCTTCTTTAGAGTTACTGTAGCCTTATGTTTAGTACCCCCCCCCCAACAACTATTCAAAATTTTGCTAAAATCTATCGTAACCCTTAGTCTACGTAAAGCACGCCACTTTGCACTCAATGCCCTCACCCCCGTCCCCGACTCTCCCCTCTCCACCCCTATTTTAAGCTACCGTAGCCCCAACGTTCCAAAAACAGAAAAATTGAATTCCCGCCGCAGCCAGAGGGCATAACGAGACAAAAGGCCGGCTGCCTTGTTGACCGGCTTCTGCTCCGTTGATTCGGCCTTATTTCGCCGAAAGTCCCAAACCTAATTTCGGGCGGCGCCACGGCTAAAGGCCACCGCACCGTGCGAATCCAATTCCGCCGAAAGAAAAAACAGAAGCATATGAAGTACGGTACACTGAATTCGTGATGACATGCTGAAAAAAATTAACGAATGACTTTGGTTTTTGGAGTGACATCGGTTTTTTTTGAAAGGCATGGGTAATATGGACAATGTTGGGATTGAAAAAGCGTGGCACGATGACATGACATGAATATGACGTTGTTAATTAAGGATGTTGGGGTTTGGGCAAAGTTTATAAACTATAGTAATGAAAAAAAAAGTGAAATATAAGGCTAAAAAACAATTTTATAAATTAAAAAAAAAATTTAATTTTAAAAATTTTAAAAATTGAAAAAAAAAATTATTGCAACTATAGAACAACTAGTTTAATGGCCAATGGCAACGCAAGTAAAACAAAATAATTAGAAAAAGTATAACCAGTCAAAAAAAAAAGGTTTATAAACATTAAAAAAAGTTTTGTCGTCAAGTAACATTGCTTTACACAGTCAAAAACGACAAGACTTTTTTTAATTTAATTTATGTTAGTATTACTTCATTAATAACTTTTTTAAGCTAATACGCTTACATAAAACCTTATAAGCTTTTTGGCGTTAACATTCATTTTCACCCCCACCCCGCTAAAAAAATAGTTTTTTTACCCCGCCCAAGAATTTTTTTTCCATTTATTATTCCGCTCAAAAAAATATTTTTTTCTACTCAAAACACAATCAAAAAGTTTTATTTTTACCACACCCTACCATTAAACTCTAAATTTATCATATACCCTCTTCCCTTTACTCCATCACCACCTCTTTCCATTAAATAAAACCTAATCACCCCTCCCTGTACCTATAAAATTAGTTTCGCTCTTCACCCTTCATCCCCCTAATTATAAAGTTGAGCCTAATCACCCCCACTCCCATTCCTATAAAATTACTTCCTCTCCTTACCCTCCATCCCCCTTATCATAAAATCAACCCTAATCACCCCAGCCAAATAAAGCACCATCACAGATCCGAGCATAGTGTCCTCACACCCCGTCCGACTGAACTGTCCCCGAGGTTCAAGCCGCCCCGGACCCTTTCGCAGTGTTTGTTTTAGAAAGTCGCCCCTGCAGCTGTTTTTCGTCCCCCCCCCCTCTTGAGCGGTTCTTCTTCCTTGTTCCGAGTGACCGCAACACGCGCGACTCCTCTTCTTCCTGATTGCTGGACTGTCTGGAGGGCTAAAGGCTAATGTTTCCTCGATTTTTGAAAGTCGCTCTCGAGTTCAAAAGTGCGCGTAATCGAGGTTGTACTACTGTATTTGAATATGGATAATATAAACTGAAGTTTAATTAATATAAAAAAGTATGTACTATAGCCAAGGCAAGGGGAAAGGGGGTGATGAGAGAGGATGTATGTTTTTTTACCACACCTTAAATTAAAATTGTACAAAATATTTTTTTTGCCTAGCTCAACCCTATCATACTTTACACTTGCTGTTAGACCAGTTTTACCCTTGCCTTGCCCTACCAGTGAGGCTACCCTTGTCCTTCTCTTGTCCTTATCCTTGATCTTAAGCTTCTTACCTCTGCTCTTACTTACCCTTGTCCTACCCTTGTAGTTACTCTTGTCTTACTCTTGCTTTACCCTTGTTCTACCCTTGATCCTATGCTTGCGTTAAACCTACCATTGCTCTACCTTTGCTTTGCTCTTGGCCTTATCTTGTCTTTCTTTTGCCTTTACCTTTGCCCTTACCCTTGCTCTTACTTTTGTCCTACTTTCGCTCTATTTTTGTCCTACCTTTGTCTTTACGCTTGGCCTTACCCTTTTCCTTCCCTTGTCTTATCAATGGCCCTACCTTGCGCTTCCCAAGGTAGGACCATGGTAGTAGGTTTATCCTTGCTCTTTTCTTATCTTGTTCTTGCGCCTTTCTCTGCTTAATCCTTGATTTATGCTACAATTTACCATTGTTCTTACCTTAGCCTCTAGCTTTGCCCTACCTTGATCTCTACTCTGGTCCTACCCATACCCTACCTTTTCACTATCTTTGCACTAAAGGACCAATTCTTTAAGTACAGTGAAAATCTTAAACTAAACCAATACAGTATAGTATTATACGTGCAAATTACCAACACCACACTCTACAATCCTACGACTTTATTTTTAAAGTATAAAGTTGTTCCTGGTTTCGGTGTACTTTCGTATGGCTTCTTATTATTTTTGTTTCCTATTTTATTGTTTAGAACACCTGTAGGGCTTCATTACACTTTTTTTGGCACTACATCTTGTTGTTTAGTAACTCGAACAAAGAAAAATAAATAAAAAATTAAGTAGTTTTGGACAGAGAACAGTAAAAAGATTTTCATAATACTGTATTTTCGATAACTTAAGGATTCAAGACGTAGGGTTACGCAACATTGTGCAATCTAGTAATGTAGGATAAGGTACAGTACAGTAGAAAAGAGTAGTATAAGTTACAGGAAGGTAGGGTAGGGTAGGATAGGGAAGGGTAGGGTAGGGTAGGGTAAAATTAACTTTTTTTAAGGTAGAGCAGACTAGTCTACCTTTAATCATCTTACTACACACAACGAAGCATAAAGCACATTAGTACATCACTAAAGCGCCGCAATGTAAACAAATTGTTTGTGCACTTTGCGAAATTCGGCCTTTTCCACAACGTTCGATGACCGCGCAACTCTTCCGCTCTCTGTTTTTTTATTTGTTTGTTCAACTTCAGCCGCAAATTTTCACGGTGAAGAAGCCGGACCCGTTGCGCAACTATTTTTACGTTCGAATCACAATAGAAACGTCAAAGTTTGAGTCATCATTTTTGAAATGGGGCTTTTAAATCAAAAAATTTGTATCTCCTAGACTAATTACATTTAGCCATGGCTATTGGCTTGGCTTGGCTTGGCTTGGCTTGGCTTGGCTTGGCTTGGCTTGGCTTGGCTTGGCTTGGCTTGGCTTTTCTTGCCTTGCCTTGCCTTGCCTTGCCTTGTTTTGCCTTGCCTTGCCTTGCCTTGCCTTGCCTTGCCTTGCCTTGCCTTGCCTTGCCTTGCCTTGCCTTGCCTTGCCTTGCCTAGCTTTGCCTTGTCTTGCTTTGCCCAATCCTTAGTCCAATCTTTAGCCATATTCCTAGCCCAGTCAATGCAAAAAATACCTACTAAATCCAAAAAAAAATATTTACTCTCCCAACCCCCACGTTCAACCCACAATAACCTGCTCAGTAAACAAGCCTTATCTCAAGTAACGAATGGTTAATATGCCAGATGATCCTAGTGTAAGGTAGTCAGAAGAATATGATTAAAACAAGATAAGTCGGCTAAACTATAATGAAACAAGATTTATACTGTTCGCATTTCGCTGGAAATGTCAATTAGTACTTTTAAATGTCAATTAAGAGTTACTATTGTGAAATAAGTAGTTTTAAAGTTATAAGTGGCTTTGAGGTGGGTTTCGAGTGGTAGGGGTGGGTAATATTAAAATAAGTATATGATAGGGTTGGAATTGCAAAATGTTGGAAATTTTACATTTAAAAAATTGGTTTTCTTAGGTAAACAGCGGTAAGGCCAGTATTGATGTAGGTTATAAAATAAAAAGGACGGGGGGGGAGGGGGGGGAGGGGGGAGGGGGGGGAGGAGTGAATTTTTAAATAGAATAAGTAAGGGTAGGGACTGACGTTTAAAATGTAAAAAATAAAAAATACTTTTTTAATTATTCCATTTCCCCCCCCCAAAAAAAGAACTGAAAAAATTAACCACCCTACCCCCAAAACCCTCACTCTATCTTACCCTACCCACAAAACCCTTAACCTACCCTACTCACAAAACACTCACCCTACTCAAAAATCCCTCACCCTACCTTACCCCACCCACAAAACCCTCAACCCACCCTACCCACAAAACCCTCACCCTACCCAAAAATCCCTCACCCTACCTTACCCCACCCACAAAACCCTCAACCCACCCTACCCACAAAGAATCAATTTCGCGAAAAACTACCTGTCCCTTTGATCTCTGCCGTCCCTCATATCACCCCAAAAACAATCCGACTCCCTTAATTTTTAAACTATACGACTAAAAGGCCGAGCAGAACATGAAAAGCGAAAAAAAAACAAAAATGGCCGCTTGCCCTACAGCCACCCCGTCCTCTCGCTTCACCGCGAGATCAACGATACGAAAAAGACAACTGATAAAGCCGGGGAGTGAAATGACCAGAGGGCTTAAACCGCTGCCCTTTCTCCCAACTGATAAGAAAAAACAAAGACATATATTGTAGTAGGTTCGACTTGCTATACGAATGAATGTTTGCTGACGAATGTCGTTTGTTTTGCAATCTTGTGGTTTATTGAATGTGGGCCGAATTTGCATAAGTTAAGTGATAATGGGAGTGTGGACTTATGTAAAATGAGGTCAGTAAGGCAGGGTTGGATTAATAGGTTATTGAAAATAATGGAAAATAAACAAAAATCAGCATGGAATAAAAAATGCCACTAAAAATGTTTTGAAGGGTGGGGGGGGAAGGAGAAGAATAAATAAAAATTTCTAAATTTTAAAAAAGCGGGTACATAATCCTTATAGCTGGAAAAATTTTTTTAATGGTTTTACAAAAAAAATCTAGCCCTAGCCTTAACTTTTGCCTCACCCCTAGCCTCAGCCCTAGCCTCAGCCCTAGCCTCAGCCCTAGCCTCAGACCTAGCCTCAGACCTAGCCTCAGTTTAGCTAAAGCTTCAGCCTAGCCCAAACGTAGCTTAAACTTAGCACAAGCCTAGTTTACGCTTATCCTAAGCCTAACCAAAGCCATAGCTCTCACTAGCCTTATCTTTACCCGCTTCTTTTAATTCCTATCCCTTAGGTTTCTCAACTTCCTTTAAAAATTTAGTCCAGACAGCTCTGAACACCTATGTTAAATTTTTAAACCATTTCATATTTCAAAACACTTTTCATCATTTTAACTAGCTATAACATGCCATCATGCCGCTTTAACACCCAAAACTTAAAAATGTCACGCAAAACTTACTACTGTATCTACAACATGTTTTTAGCATTTGCAGTTGAGATTAACGTTACGGTGATTAAAAAGTGTCAAAAATATGATTATGTTAGAGTAAACAAGGATTTGGATAGACGTACTGAGACCAACGGAGTCAGAAAAAAAACTGTCTATGCATTACGTAGGGAAAAATGCACTTTAAAATTTTTAAATTTTGCAAAAAGTGTGAGTTATGTATAACAAAAACCTCTATATAACGACACCGCACTATATAATAAAGACTTCTATACAACAAAACTGCTATATGACGACCAAACTTTAAATCATCAGCTAATACAGCAACAAAATAAAAAAAAACTAACAAAAAAGTGCCCTACCTGCTCCGCTCAGAAGCAGCTCAAATTTTTTGTATGAATTCCTTGTACCACCAATAGTACCCATAAAAAATTTTAGCTTGCGCTTCTGAGTTTTAAATTTAAATTATTTGGGTTTCCCGGCAATTTGGCAAATTTGGCATTGTGTTTCAAGCAATTTTTTGGGCTTTCCAGACAAGATACGCTTACAAATTTAAAAATGTAGGTTCATTTAAAGTTTATCTACTGATATATCGAAGAAAAATTATTAAAAGTCTAAAAATGTCAATGTTACAAGCTTGAAACACAATGCTAAGTTAGCGGGAAATTAAAAATGTCATTTTTTAATCACGATTTTCTCGAGACTTCCTGGAAAGCGCAATTTAGTACCTTGTTGAAGAAAAGTACTAAATTGCACTTTTCTTGTAAATTGCTATTTCAACCCCCCCCCCCTCTCTAACTTACCATTTCAAAAAACCCCCCCCCCTCTCTCACATGCCATTTCAAAACAACCCAGACAATAAAAATCCCGAAAGTTTCAAAAATCCTTTCGAAATTTATCCCCCCCCTTCAAATTTACTAAATTTCGTATCACAATCCCCAAAAAACGGTCTCAAATGACCGCTGACCGTCTCGCTTCCTCCAAAAATAATCCCACGTTTGGTCCGCAATCAATTCTCAAAAAACAAACAAAAGTTGGGGACTGCGCGGCTTGCAGCGAACGCGGAAGCATCCCGGCTCTTCGCTGAGCTATTTTCGTCAGCCGGACCGGTTCTCCCCAAGTGCAAGTACACGCGCGGATCAACGGTAAAGGGGTGGGCAATGGGGGGGGATCAAAATTTTTTATTTTTAAAAAATGTGACACTTTTCACGCTCATGGAAAAAAATTTTCAACTTAAACTTGCACCCCACCCCTTCCTTTTTTGCTATTATCCTTGATCCACCTTTCCATACGCTAGCCCTAGACTCATTCTAGCCGTCCCGTACCATTGCCTTAACCTTGCCCTAACCTTGTTTTAGCCTTGCCCTATCCTTGCCTTAGTCTTGCCCTAGCCTTGCTCTAGCCTTGCCCTATCCTTGCCCTAGCCTTGCCCTAGCCTCGTTTTATCCTTGCTTTAGTCGTGCCCTAGCTTTGCCATAGCTTTGTTCTACCTTTGCTCTAGCCTTGCCCTAGCCTTGCCCTAGTCTTGCCCTTTCCTTGCCCTAGCCTTGCCCTTTTCTTGCCCTAGCCTTGCCCTAGCCTTGCCCTAATCTTGCCCTTTCCTTGCCCTAGCCTTGCCTTAGTCTTGCCGTATCATTGCCTTAGTACCGCTTTAGCCTTGCCCTATCCTTGTTTTAGTCTTGCTTTAGACTTGCCGTAGCATTGTTTTAGCACCGCTTTAGCCTTGCCCTAGCCTTGTCCTAGCCTCGCTCTAGCCTTGCCTTGGCTTTGCCCTAGCTTACCCTATTCTTTCCCTAGCCTTGCTTTAGCCTCGCCTTAGATTTGTCATAGTTTTGCTTTATTCTTGCCCTGGCTTTGCGCTAGTTCTGGCCAAGTCTTGCTATTGCCTTACCTTTGGATTGCCTTGCTTTTGTGCCGTAGGCTTGCCTTAGTTTTTACCTCTTTCTTGCCCTTGCCTACTTTTGCATTACCTTTGTCTAAACCCTGATTAATCCTTGCCTTGAGTCTACCTTAACCTTCTCATATTCTACTCCTTACAAATTAACAGTACCGGCCCAGTACAAAAATTACAGTACCCCTATGTAAGCCCGAAAAAACCGGCCCTGAATGCAGACGATCCGAGTCTTGCGGTCAGTCGCAAAAAATTTCTGAAGCCCTCTTCATGAACCCGAAAATCATCTGCTTTCGCTGACGATCGAAAAAAAACTGTTGAAGATTCACACTGATGCGCCAGAAACCGGATTCGAACGTTTGCCCCCTGTAGCGTGGCGTCGGCGATGGGGATGATGTGATGTCGCGCGCCGAGAACGCCAAAGGGTGGGTTGCGCGCCAAAGGGTGGATTGCAGGGGTGGATTGCACGCCAAAGGGTGGACTGGTCCGGGCAGGGGTCGTCACAATGGCATTACGACTCAATGAGGTTCGTCCATTCGCAAAAAAAAACATTCTCTGTTGTTTTTTTGCATCGTTCGTTCGACGGCGCGGCGAAAACTGGAAATTCCAGTTTTCGGTGGAGGGCAATGGCGGCTCATCTTCGCCGATCCGCCGAAGCTTCTGGAGAAGAGGGCATGGATGGGGGTGAGGGAACGGCATGATTATTGGGTAGAGATCGGCACGGATTTTAGCTAGAGAAAAGCATTGTTTCAACGAGAGAACGGCATAGATATTGAGTAGAGGTCGACATGAACAATGGTTAGAGATCGGCACATAGAGTGACTAAAGAAAGGCATAGATATCGCTTAAACAAAGCTTGAGTTTTAGTGAAAGAAACCAAGCTTCAAGCGAAACACGAAACCAGAGAAGCGAACAATGATGCCCACTCATCGCGCAACGACCAGTTACGGCAACAACAACAACAACGGCACCGTTCCAGCCTTTCGAATGCCCTCCAGGCACAATAATCTCGATCGTAATCGGCGCGGTGCAATCGCGTGTTGTCATCAACAATGTTTGAAAACAAGAGCTGTGGATGGGGTTGATGAAAACAAGAGTGGCATCGGCTTTTGTTTTCGATTACTCAATTTGAATTTCTGCTGGAATGACAGATGTGTCGAGCTAGACGAGGAGAGGAGGAAGAGGATGATTAAGAGAGTAAAAGGTTGTAAAAATGATGAAACTACTAGGTTG